CTCTTGGATACCTTTTGTGGATCACTAGCGTATGCAGCTCCGGAAATTCTTGCAAACAAGGAGTATTCTGGCCACGCGGTACGTTTTTTTCTAATATATAAGCGGCTAAAGGTGAAGTGTGCGTGTGCCTTGGCGTTCAAGCCGAACAGTTGTATTCGAATAGCATTAAAGTAACACACATATATGGTATATTTTGACGTTGCAGAACTGTTATTTTTGTGTGGACATTGGTTTCGTGTAAGAATGTTAGTTTTGCATCTTCTATAATTGTGGATTTGATTTTTGAGGCTATAACTCTTCCCATTACAATTTAAGTGGGCGTATCCCATTGGAAATATAGTACTTTTCCGCCCAAACAAGTCTTTGCTGTGTCGCCAGCATATTGGACTGGTGTTTGATCCTTGAACATCTTCCTGATATGTTCGCCCGTTAGTTTTGACATCTGTGGTCTCTCTGTAAACTCGAATAACCCTGTGAATTATTCAGGCGTTGACATTTCAGGAAAGCACTCGTTTCAAACATAGGTTTTTATGTGACACCAGTCTGCTTTGTTTACCAACTAAACTGACCGCTGTTAATTTTAACATTAATACATAATGACACAAGGTGAGGGTTTGGCAAAGTTGAATGCAAATACGATTCATAAATTACCCTCGATGTTGCTTTTCAATATCTTGTTTTCGTGTACCGTTGGATATATCCGACCGCTTGCTGTTCTTTTAAAACTCTTACACAAAATTTACTAGTTTAATCTGGCGCCAACGGAATTTTGCTGCGTAATCATCAGGTGTACATATGCTTCATGATGCAAAATATGCACTTTAAACATTCTCGGTATAATTTTTTTTACCGAATTCTTACTATTCACAGGCGGATATATGGTCGATGGGCGTCATTTTGTACTCTCTCCTCTGCGGTTGTCTCCCGTTTGATCCAACGAAGCCCGAAAAGTTGCCTCAGATAATTGCTGTACGTATATTTTCCTTTAAGTTTACTTTGAGACTTTGTGATTCTTCAACTTTTGGCTCGTGGACCTTTTACTTTG